TGGGTGGACAAGGTGAGCAGGCACTGCAAAACTCACCAAGTGATGGTTGCACTGGAGGACTTGGCAGGCAGCTGAGGAGGAACTGGGAAAAGTGATTTTTTTTTTTCCTTGGTGATGTGTAGTTTTTGAAGTACTTGAAATGCTTAGGAAGAAGACCCCTGTGGTCAGCAAACCAACATTTTCTCTTAATCACTTTCAGCAAATAGAGTAAAATGTTCATTGTTGTGCAGTTTTCAACATAGTGATAACAAAGGCAGTGTTCCTCTTTCTCCTGGTTGTCATTTTTCTGTATGACATTGTTCTTATGCCAGCTCAGGAAACATGGAATGCTTTGGCTTGGAGGAGTCTTCAAAGGTCATCTAGTTCAAGCCCCCTGTCATAGAAAGAGACATTTTCCACTAGACTAAATTGCTGAAAGCTTCATCCACCATAGCCTTGAACACTTCCAGGGATGGGGCATCCACAACTTCTCTGGGCAATCTGCTCCAGTATCTCACCATACTCACAGTAAAGAATTTCTTGCTAACACTGCTTCCAATGCAGCCCAGGATATGGTTGGCTTTCTGGGATGGAAGCTCACATTTCTGAGTCATGTCCAATTTTTCAGACAGATGAACTTTTTCCTGGTGGACTTAAAAGAAAAAAAATTAATCTGAGTGAATTTTTGTGCATGATAAAAATTTATAGGGAAAATCAGTTTTTTGTAACCAAAGTATTGACAATTTTTAGTCAAATACAGCAAATAGGTTTTGATGACACAACTAAAAAGAAGAGTCAAGATGTGAAACTCTTCCTTTCAAAACTGAGGCGCATTTGAGAAATGGACACATTAAGAAAAAAGTAAAACTTTTTTGTTTTCTTAGATTGGTTAGAGCAACTGAGAAGCTTGGCTTTATGAAGAAAAGGAGATTTTTTTTTTAATTTTTAAGGAGCTGCTGAAATGAAAAAGCCAAAAAAGAAACTAAAACGCAACAACACCCAGGTAACCACTTATATATTTTTTCTCCTTTTTTATTTTTTTATTTGTTTTAAATTTTTTTTCCTTTTTTTCCTGTTTCTTTTTCTTTTTCACTTTTTCCCCCTTCTTTTTAAATTTGCAGTGAACAGACTCCACAGGCAGTACGAATTTAGACAATCTGAGAGGTGAAAATATCTAATCTGTAAAACATGTAGTTTGGTGGAATAGGTGCTGGGCCCAAAATGCAAGACTCATTGCCCTTATAAACTAGCATCAGGTGCATTATAGTGAAATCATAACTGTGTTGAATTCTCCATTTCTTGGGAGGACATACTGAGAATGGAGAATATGCTTAGACACTGACCACCCTACATGAAATTGGAGAGCAAAACCTAAAAGAAAACCAGAAAACAGGGCATGAGAGGGGATGTGACATCTGGCTTCTCTGCCAATGAACTCAAGGACCAACTTTCTTCTTTTATCTTCGGAGGAAGACGTACTTACAAACAGCAATTCCACTATGTTGACTTCCAACATGTGGAGGACCCCGCTAGAACCTGGCTGCCCAAGTCTCTAGGACACACTGATGTTTGCCTGGTGTAAACTAGTTTGTTTCCAATCTAGGTAAAAGTTTTCCTGAAACAAATGCCCACTGAGACAATGGAAGCTTGTACCACTGGTGGCTGCTGCTTGAATTCAGAAAGAAGAAAAGTCTAATGTCAACATCTCTTCAGGCTGATGGATAGTGGTGTGGTTTTTTTTCTCTTTTCTACCTGTACTTAAGACATTTTTTGCCTTTCCAGTAAGCTACCCTTGTCTGAAAGACACTTTTATAGGGGCTCAGGTAATTCACCCAAATTCCCCAGGGCAGATATGCAAGTCAGATAACAGCAGGAAACCAGTAAGGGTATTGGAATAAGCATCTGAGACAGGAACCTGTGGAAGGGGGATAAAATGCCACTGCCATACACTTAGCTCACTGATGGGTTAATAACTTGGTGCTTAGAGGTTCTTCATTGAGAACAACGGGCAACAACAGCTAATGGGGTCCGACACCAGTGCCCTTGGGATGAAGAGGAAGGTTAATTGAATTCTAGTGAAGCTCCCTTTGTGTTGCAGAGTATTTGAACAAACCAGGGCAGCCAACTTCCCAGCATCAGCCTATGCATTGTGGCAAGTTCATCTGTGGTATGACTAAACTGCCTTCAATAGAAGGAATGAATTTAGCCTCCAAAACTTAGTTTCGGGGAGATTGAGATAATCCTATTAGAAATTTTGTCTGACTACTCAGGCCAGTGTTTGTTTTCACTTGTGAAAATATTGCAGGAGAAGGAGTGGGCATTCTTGGATGAGATGGTGCTTGTTGCTGCTCCAAATGTACAACAGTGTGAACTCTTCTACTTCACTTATTCATGGACACCCTAATCTGCACAAAAACAAGAGCTGTGGGCATGTTGTGAAAGAAGAGAACAAAACAGATTATTCACACAAAGTCATTTGCTTGCTTTTGGTATCTAAGTCTCCTTTGGCTTTTCAGAAGCTGTGATACTAGTCCTCAAATGCAGACAACACTGAACGTAATGTTATTTTGAAGATGTTTAAGCCTGATTGTTCCACATTAGTTAAAACAAAGATGGTAGTTTCAGCTTGCCTGACAAAAGCAGACTTTATGTTTTCAGTTCTTAATTCACTTGGATGTCTTCCAGTAGCAAATGGTTTCAGGTTATTAGTTTCTTCATTACAATAATGATTGTCTGAAATCTGACCTGACTTTGGAATGATATTGAGATACATCTTTGCTGCATGTTCTCAGATTTCCCACAAGGTGCTTTTTATTTGAGCACTGACAATATGCACTCACTTTTTTACCCACCCAAGCTGTGAAGACTTTTACAACTTGCTTCCTAAGGAACAGAGCTCTCTTAGTGGCTGAAAAGAAGTTTAAACACCTTCCTGTTTTCACTTGTATAGGATAACTTCGTAGGTAGTAATATTCCCCTGACAATTTTTTGTTTACCTTTGCTTAGGATCTATTCTTGTTTGAACTTTTCTCTGAGGCTGTCTGCACTGACTCTGATTTCCTGTTGCGCTATTTCCACTTTGTGTCTCTCTATTGTTTGTGCAAGCTGTTTGAACTCCAGGCATTCTTCAACTCTCTTTTCTGCTTCTTCACCTTCATGTTTAAATGTGCATTGGTTGCTCTGCCACAAAGGAGGAGGTTATCATCTTCTTCAGTTATGTTGGGGGTATCTCACTAAGGAAGTTTTTACCTTAACCTAGTCACCTGGGTGCTCTAGTATATATTACTTTCATATCTTTATAACTCCATTCCATTTCTATATCTGCAAAAGTAAAACGGGACACACACACACACACACACAAACACACACACATGTCCAAATTCCACAGCAAACAAAGAAAAAGTGGGTTAAATAAAAACAAATAATGAACAGACTTATTTAGTCCCATCTTTTGACTGAGACTCTTTGTGGCACTACTGATGAGGTCAGTTGCTGGAGTTAAAAAAAAGAGGCCCTCCAATTACAAGAATTTGAAAGCAGCTCTAAATAATCTAAATAAGCCACAGAGCTAGTTACTATGCAGCATTATCACAGACAAGCCAGGTATAGCGAATGCAGTTAGAATGAAAACTGTAGGGAGGGATATTGTTTAAAGCAACTCACTTTTATTGACAGTGTACTGTAAGGCAAGGAAAAAATGTTTGCCAGATTTTTTAAAAAGAAGGTTTGCAGCAAGAGTGATCTGCAGTTCAATATATTATTGAACTTTCAAAGATAGTATCTTTTATAAATCCAATATTTATCTTTTTATCGTATATACAAAAGCTTAACTTAAACAAGCACAAAACAGAACACAAAATAATGGATTTGCATACGAGGTTTTGTTGATGGTTCATAATCTAGTAAACAAGAGAATGCACACATTCTGTTACTATAGTTACATTTGACGAGATTTAAACTTAAATATACCCCAAACCACATTAAATGCCCAGAAAATACAGATGTGTTCAGTATGACTACTTCAGAAAAAAATCTAAACAATGTTCAACCATACACTGGGAACAAAACATTGATAGATGCCAAGAAAACTGTATTTCATGGCCAAAACTAATTTTGCATTTTTGATGAAGGCATCTGTGTGTTTTCACTGTTGTATTCTGACTGTTCTACATTAATATCTTGGCAAGAAAAAATTTTCCAAACACTGGCTTTTGTCTGCTTTTGAAAGGATATGTTTTTGAACTGGTGATGTAAATAAACTGTGAGCCTCTTAGAAGATCTCACATCAGGCCATGTTAGAGCAACCTATCATTTCCATAGGAAACAATGGTAACAGAAAGGTCCCAGCTATGCTAAAAATCCCAGTCGGGGGACAAGGAACAAAATCTGCAAACTCTGAGTTCTTCCCTGAGGGAAGGGCACATTTTTACCCCACATTTTTTGACAGCCTTAAATTCTGAAACTAACAAACACTGTTGTATTTCATGGCTTTTGTTCTCTACCTCCATATCTGTATAGCATTGGCCTTTCACTGGAAAAACTTTTATGAAAGCGATAGCTGCTTTTTCACTGGCGATAATGTAGCACTATTAGTGGTTCATAAAATAAATGAAGGCTAACGTCTCAAAATATGATGCATTAGGATAAAGGGGACAAAGGTACTTAACCTCAGTACATGTCATGCCTTAGCTTTGCAGGGCTGTAGCATGAGAAGTAACATAGGTAAGTAAAATTTGCTTCTACCTATATAGGCAAAACTGAACGTATTTTTAAAGACATACAATACTGTTCTGTAATTAGAATCCCCAACATGCTAATTTTTATCACAGAAAAGAAGAAAATTATTTTACAACTACACAAGGAAATGGGACCCAATTAACAGGAGAATAATGACACCGCACTTATATGTAGCCAGTATATTCTGAAAATGAAGCATAAACCCATGTTTTTCAACTGGAGGTCTTTTGCTGGATGCTTAAATGCACAGTTTTCATGTATTTTTTTCTTGGGTTTTTTTCCCTGTTTTCTCTATGAAAATCAAGCTCTTTGCATAATTAACCACACCTCAAAGATATTTACATTTTAAAAGCCAATCCTTCACCTTCTGATTTTAAAATGAGTTATGCTGTATCTTGTATATTTTAAAAAAAGGTCCTGAAAAAGCTTAGAATTGTAATTCAGAATCTGTACTTTGTAAAAATACTTCCCTTGAACACGAAGTCAGTGCTGACCTCTTCAGGTCATTTGTGAATAATAAAATCTTTCTAAAGTAATGTTAGTTAATAAGAACTGAGTGAAAACATAAGATGAAATACATTACCCCTGTATTGTAAAGTGTTGCCACTTTAAAGTACAGTATAGGTTGAAGAAAAACACAGAGGTGTGTATATCAAAATATATTTTCACTATGATTCTACAGAACACATGAAATCTTTCTATACTCTGTCTGCCAAAGGCAATACAGTCTTTCTGGCTTTGTTAGTACTGCTATAGTATACAGGTTTCTTAAAGTACAGTTAGTACCTATAGAGGTCAATTCTAACACCTAAATGTGTGCTATGCTTCATATGGCAGAAGGATAAGCATAGAAAAAATTTATGACATTGATTTTAAAGAAATTGTACATCACACAGCGTCTTTACTTCTAAACATAGAAAATAAGACTGTACTTGAAGTGGTTGTTGTTGTTGTAGTATGACTTAAATGTTTCTCAGATGTCAAGAAGGTCCTCTCCACTCTCATCACTCTCCACAGTTAATTGTCTTGTCCACCATTTCTTGACTTCTGATCCACAAGAAGCAGCATCAGACATAGGATTCATTTTGCATGCAACAGATTTCATAGTTGAACGTCCACCAAAACGGAGGTTGACTGAAGACACTGAATGGCTTAGTGGTTTGGGGGCTATGAAATCAAACAGAAAGTTCTGTATTAGAGTAGATCTGCTTCTTGAGCATTTTTGCTTGGAATTCACGTATACAGAACTAGCTGAAGTGGGGGCACCTTCAAACTGATTTACTGCAAAAAGAGTAGGGGTCTTTTCTAATGTTGTTGTGGCTTTTTGTTTGGGTTTTTTTTGTTGCTGTTTTTTGTTTCTTTGTTTTTTTCCCATCTCTCACTGTTCACACTGCTCCCACTAATCTGCTGGTAGAGCAGTTTAATGGAGCAGTCCCTCATTTCCTTCTGCTGGAATAACTGATCCAAGAGATGTCTTCCTATCTAGCTAATTGCAGCCTAAATATTTTAGGCAGTACTTACATGAGCTGACCTGCTGGCAAAATGGTCAAAGTGGTAAATGTGAGGAAAAGGGGAGGAAAAGTGCTTTTGGGGTTGGCAGCTGCACCTAGAAAATGATACTTTACTATGGCCTAGGGGTTGAAGCCAGTACAAGGTGCTGGTATGGTACTAAAACATGTCTAATTATATAAACCCCACAGTTGATCTTAATTATGCTATTCATGATGCTAAATACATGTCTTTGTTGGACTGGAGGCAGACTACTTATCTGTTGGGCGCTGTACTATGCATGGAGATGACCTTCCTTTTTAGGACTATCCACTGAGGAACATTTAAGATAGACATGGACCAGGTCGGTGTTAAGAAAGGAAAACCTGAGCTCCTCATTCTCACCTGAAAAACCTGTCCAGTTGGCTACAGCAGTATGATTCCTCTTTAGCAAGCTTCCTCTTTCACTCTTTCTCTCTGTTCTAGCAAAATGTTGATCTTTGATGCTCAGTGATATTTACTTGGAAAACATGGATTGCAAGCTCTCTATTAAACTATCCTGTTTCTTGGACAAGTACACTGGTCACAAAAGTAGGGTCAATGGTAGTCAATAGAATAGCATGACTATCTCTTCCACTTAGGTATGACTGGGGTCTGAACACTGGCAGCCTTTGAAGGCAGCACTCTGACTCAGAACAGGATGACAGCTGAAAGCAGGCTGATGTGTTGCTCGTCATGGGTGTAGCAGGCTGTAGAGGTCAACATACACTTTAAGAGAGACTATTTGAGGTGGGGGAGACACGGACTCTTGAAATACGGACTTAATAAGAGGCATCAGACTGTAGCTATGCACCTCTCCCACCCTCCTATAAGCACCCTCCTCTATGGCATAGCCTAGCCTTTTTTTCTTCTAGTGGACTGTAGTTACTAGAGTAACCTGTTTCTGAGAAAATAAATGGGAAACTGATTGTACACATGGCCAATTCCTGTCTGAAGATCTAAAAATGTGTTATTATGGTTTAAGTTATAAATCATACATCTGGCATGCTTAGACAAGACAAGGCAGTCAGAAATTACTACTGTTGTTGGGAAAAAATTCATTTTCACCATACTTCACATGACAAAAGAGAACTCTAAATGCACAAGATGCTATCCAAACATACGGGTCGGTACAGTCCCCAATCCAAAGGTCCTGAATAAATGAAAAAGTAAAAAATGCAACCACCTGCACAGGGCAGTGCTTGAGTCCATCTTCCAAACTTTCAGAATTGTGAAAAAGGGGAGAAGCTGCTTTGTTGTAACAGCCATGAGGGTAGGAAAGCCCTGATGTGGGTGTAAGCAGCAGCCAGGGGGCAGAACTGTGAACCACGAAGCCTCTCATGGCCTTGATGGCCTTGCTATTGTACAGCAGCAATTTTGCATGTAAGGACTCTACTGATAAACCTTCTTCACTTACCTGATGGCAAGCGCCATTGTCCAAATTTACGCTGAGGTTTCCCAGCATCTCCAGAGTCTTGTCGATAGCCACCTCTGTCAGAAAGTGTGGGGCTAAGGAGCTGCTGCTGGCTACTCGTCTGAACAGAGATAAAAGAATCTCAGTCATAGTTCCCCACTGCATGGGTATAATCCTAAGGGGGTTTATTTTTCTATCCTATTTCAAGCTTTTTCCATGAATAAAACAAAACATATTGCCATTTGTTAAGGTAGCATGGTTTCTATTCTTTAAAGCCCCAGAAAACTACTAACAGACAAACGTAAAATGGGCTCAATGCCACTGTACAGTCCCATTGAAGAGTATGAAATTATTCTCAGCCTTCTACAGCCACTGTAGAAAGTAACCCTTATGCTGTACTTTTTGGGTTCCCCAGTCTGGAAGAGCCCAGGGCTCCTGCTCAGAGGACACAGCATGACCAGTATTACCTCTCTTAGTGTGAACACTGGTTCAGGATGCCTGAACTGGAAAGCTTCACATCCCCAAGCCTGTACAAAGCTCATGCTGGAGCTGAAAGCTGGTGCTGTCAGAATTGTACAACTGCCCTTTATAGTGATAGCAAGACAGCTAACTATGTTGGGGAATTACTGCCTTAGACCATCTTGCCTTTACATCTGACAGCAAAGACCAAAGCAAAACAAGGTATTGCTTTCAACCCTTTCAGTTAAAATGGTGTTTTAAAAAAGAAGAAATAAGAAACAGAGAAGTTTTCTGAATTTGTTATGAGTAGCTGATAGTTTTCAGTTTAACATACCTCTGGCTGTGCACTGTTATCTTGATTAATAGCATTCATATCTTCACTTGGCTGTGTTGTCTCAATGCTGGGAGGATTCAGAAATCGGCTCAACTCCTGCTGTTGACTCTCTCGCAGACTATGGATAATGCTGCACGACTGCTGTTGTTTCTATCAAGGCACAATATGTGATGAAAAAAATGTTCTCACTGGTGTGTCACAGTGTTTGATTTTTTTTAAAGCATTCTAAATATTTAACTGAACAGCCAGATGTGGATCCCAGGTGCATCAATAAAGATCCATGTATCAGATGTTGCTATTTAAATAAAGTGACTTCCAGCATATTTCTAACCTTTATATAGGGAATAGAGGATTAAAATCAAGAATTATACTAAGTGGAAGGCATGTTGCTCAACTGTTGGTTTAAACCTACAGTTTAAACACACACAAAGTTTCTAATTGATGAGTTAAAGTTCTTCCAAAAATAAGAAACAAGGAAATTGTTAGAGATTCACAGGAAATTACATGAAGGCAATGAAAAAATTCTGATTTCTTTCATGGACTTTGGAACAGGCTGATAATAAGACTGAATAAAACTGTAGTGAAAACCTTGGGACTAAGTATAGATTTATAGTACAAATAGAAAAACAAACCTACCACCATTATGATCTTACAATCTAATTTGCTTTTAAATTAAAATAAACAGCCTTTAGGAAGGTTTTCACTTTCCTGGGTAGTTTTCACATGCTCCCTCTAGAGACACTTGGAGAATAACAAGAGAATTTGAAAACAGATATTAACTTCCATAATTACATTCAGTTTATAAAAGGTTCATATAATGTGAAATGATCTGAGCCATATTATTGGAGTGAAATGAATAGCATATTTACTTTAACATAGTGTAGTTCAGTATCATAATGAAATGAACAACAGAGTTGAACAAACCCAGAACTGAGAGCTGAGACTAAATTTACTGCCATTGTTATTCATATACAGAGATGAGATAAAAAATGAAATTATGTATCATTGAACACTGAGGTTTCAGCTGGAATGTACATTACATTCAAAATGTCCTGTTATGATTTTTTATACAGATTGCTATGGAAAACCTTCAATCACAAGAAGTAATTTTTTATAGAAATAAAAAATATATGTGTCAAAAGCTGGACTCAGACTTACAGGAACTGAAAAATCAGTCATCAGTGTAACCAGGTTGTGATTTTTTATATAAAGGAAGAGTTGGTTTTGGAAGACAACATGAGAATAACTGCAAAACCTAAACAAAATTTTTTGATTTTTTTTTTAATATAAATTTATCCAAGTCAAACTTCAACCAGCATATATTGTAGCTATCCTGAGCAAAGGTAAAAATGTTTCTGACAATCAGAAGCACTTCATAAACAGAACACAGAAGCACTGGCTAGGTTTATACGGGTAAGTTAAAGAGACTGGGATTGCCTGCAGTGCTGAAGCCAAGAGACAGGTCAGGACTTGTGTGATCTGGCTAAGCTTCCCTCTGCCTCTAGCTTCAACCAATGCCTACTGGCAGTGGTCTCCACCCTGATATGCCTGGAGGACAGTGATGCTCCCACAGCGGTGGTCTGGGAGACCATATGGCAGTGGTCTGGGGGTATATGAGTACACATAGGCCAAAACTGGCCAAAACTGTGCTGAAGAACATGCTAATGGGTGATCCCATCCCAGCCCTGAGCCAAGCCCTTGTCCCTGCTTAGTTTACTGGCTACACAGCTACGGTGTGCCATGGTTCATATACCTGCTTTACATGTACACATACTGCTCATTTGCACACAAAATAACTGTAATGGTTCAGTCAAATGATTTATCTTAATACAGGTTCCATTTGAAGAGTCATTTTCAGGTGACAGATCTACCAGCAGAGGTAAGGAAATTATACAATTACATTCTGTGAGGAGGGATTAGGCCTATGAAGTTTCATCAAATTATATTGTTTTTTTCTTTATTCCTTTGACTTTGGTCTCTGCACATGCCTCTTCCTGCTCTATCGAAAATACAGATAGATTTTTGTCAGGAAGACAGGTTTTGCCTTCAAAAGATGCTTATTTTTGTTGCACTTTCAATTGAGCTGTAACACAGTTTTTTGTTGAGTTAGCAAATGCTACATACTTCTTCAAATAAGTATTATCATGACTCCAGAGCAAATGAAGCATAGTGGCAGCAAATTCCAGCATTGTTGAACAGTACAATTTATGCAACCATTTAGATCCTGGTTTTGCTTGACTTACTGCTCTGATTCGCTTCAAGCACTTCTTCAGCCACATGCGTATGGTCTGTTTGGCCACCTCCTCTTCTATGGTATATTCCAGCTGTTCCCTAGCAAGCAGCTCTTCCAGTTGAAGACTTTTTCTGATATCAACAGACCTATATGAAAGCATGCTGGAAGAAACACAATTTATTTATTTTTAAATGCTGGTGTCATTACATTTTAATCTAGAAAATCAAACTTCATACTTGAGACCTTAGTGCAAAAATACATAACAAGGTTGTGTGCAATAAATTCACATTTGATGCTAAAAAATTGCTGAGATGATTCCAGAAGAGACTTGTGGTGCTCAAAACAAAGACCTTATCACCTACATGTAGCTATTGAAAACAGGCGAGCTGCTGAACTGTGAGCAATTAGGGCATTTGTGGTGGTGTTTTGGTTTTTTATTTTTTTTCCCCCCTAAGTGTTTATGCTTGGATAATGTTCCCATTTCTATTTTATTTCCAGTCAGGCTTGCTGTCATGTTGCTACACTTGAAGGTGCAGCATTTCATTAGAAGGATACAAGAACAACATGTGACTGCTGTTTGTGACAAATTGCCTCCAATGAAAATCTTAAAATACTTAGAGCTGATTCCCTAGGACCTGTGTTTTCCATTACTAATATTTTTGCAGGAAAAAAATGGAAATCTAATTTTTGTACTGCATTTAAAATTGCAGTGCCTCTGTGGCTACCAGTCTTGCCTTTTCCCAAGTCTAATGACTACCTGTTAGCCTGGAGGGAAACACAGGCCATTATATATCTTCTAAAAATGTAGAGAAAATCTCAGGGTACCTGAGCACATCATGAAAAGTGACATCACCACCATTGTGAAGCCGCTCCATTTCATAGCACATGTGCTTGAACAGGAGCTTGTCCTTGTCGAGATCCACCTCCAGCCTGCCTCGCAGAAGCCTCAGCAGAAATTTCACTCGGAAGGTAGGGATTACCCCCTGTGTAAAATTGCATAATAGATGGTAAATTATTACTGCAACCTAACAACCAGCTCAGACATTCAACTTGAACAGTGAGAGAAACACGATTTCTCCAAAGACTCTGTGCCTAATCCTAGCCTATTTAAGTCACTGTGAATACATTACTGAAAAATATGCACATGAAGCCAGTTCTTCAGCACATTCACAGAAGTCTTTGCTGTTATTTGACTCATATACAGTCTATGTTGGTCATTTTGCCAGAAATTTTCAAAATTATCTGGGGATTGAGTTTTTCTATTTGCATTCATCTGTAATGAGAATCATATGCCTGAAGAACTGACTTTGAAAAATGGAAATTAAACTACAATTTAAACACTCACAGCCAAGCCTATAACTCACTGTAAACCTGTTCCCTTCTCTGCATCTTTGGACAGAAGAATATTGGGAGTTTTTATTTTATTATTTTTTTAGGACTCAAGATACTTCCCTTTGAAACTGTGGTACTCATAATATTCAAATATTTTTTTCTACTGAATAAGCCTGACCGGAACTATTTTTGCTGTAATGTGTTGTTCCACATCAGAGAGATAGTGTCAATGCTGGGCACAATGGATCCAGAACTCTCTACCTCTATCAGTACCTCTATCAGTATCAGCAGCTTCCATCTCCAGCACAGCCATGTGCTAACTACAAGGAGCCAACTTGTTTCACTGCCATGTTGTTCATATTCAAATCTTAGTGATGTCATGAATCATTCAGATGATGACTTCATTTGTGTGAGCATCTGAACACCTCAGTCTCCCAGATGTTATTCTTACTCCAGAATCACAGAATGGTTGAGGTTGGAAGGGACCTATGGAGCTCACCCTGTCTGATTCCCTCTGTTTAAGCAGGGCTTCCTAAAGCCAGTTTCCCAGGACCATGTCCAGATGTCTTCTGAATATCTCCAAGGACAAAGACTCCATAATCCCCCCTGGGAAACCTGTGACAGTGCTCAGTCACCCTTACAGTGAAAAAGTGTTTTCTGATGTTCAGAGGAAACCTCCCATATTTCAGGATGTGCCCATTGCCTCCAGTCCTTCACTGGGGAGCATGGGGCAAAGCCTGACTCTGTCCTCTTTGCAACATCCCTTCAGGTATTCGACAAGCTGCCCCTGAGCCTTCTCCAGTCTGAACAGTCCCAGCTCTCTCAGTCTTTCCTCACAGGAGACATGCTTCAGTCCCTTCATCATCTTTGTGGCCCTTTGTATGTCTGTGTCTCTGTGTACAGAGGAGCCCAGAATTGAACCCAGGTGTGGCCTTGCCCAGGCTGAGTAGAGGGGAAGGACCCTCTGCCTTGGCCTGATGGCAATACTTTGTCTAATGCAGCCCAGGATACCACTAGTCCTCTTTGCTACAAGGGCAGTGGTAGCTCATGTTCAACTTGGTGTCCACCAGGACTCCCAGGTCCTTTACTGATAAGCTGCTTTCCAGTTGGGTGGCCTCCAGCATGTACTTTGCCCTGGTTTATTCTTCTCCAGGTGCAAGACTGCATTTTTCCTTGTTGAACTTCATGAAGCTCCTGCGAGCCCATTTCTCCAGCCTGTCGAGGTCCCTCTGGAAGGCAGCACAACCCTCTGATTTATCAGCCACTCCTCCCAGTTTGGTGTCATCAGCAAACGTGCTGGGGGTGCCCTCTGCTCCATGGTCCAGCTCATTAATGAAGATATTGAATAGGATTGGACCCAGTACTGACTCCTGGGGTACACAACTAGTTACTGGCCTCCAACTAGAATCTGTGCTGCTGATCATCACCCTCTGGGCCTGGCTATGCAGACAGTTTTCAGTCCACTTCATTGTCTTCTCACTCAGCCCATACTTCATCAGCCTCTCCATAAGAATCATACAGGAGACAGTGCTGAAATCTCAGCAAGCTCTCCCAAAGATCAGACACATAAATGGATATGAGTTTGTAGACTTTCAAGGGGACAACTCTTTGGAAGCTGTGAGGAAAGATGCTATTATATTAATCCTTTAAATAGGCATGTTCGTTTGTAAATCTGCTACTATAAGTACTTCACAGAATACACGTTAGTATTCGAAGGGTCATGAACAACTTCAGATCATGCTCACTGAACTTCTAAAATCTAACCTCTGAGTGAGTTTTGCCAACATACTTTGTTTTCCCCATACTTTCTTACAAGGAAAGCTGGAAATTTACTAGATTTCTGTGATTATTATCAAATGTCTTACCTCTCTTTTGTCATCAACCATGTTCCATATAATTTGAAAATGCCTAAGATCATTATAACTTAGAAGCTGGTCTTCTTCGGTTGAGTAAAACAATGAGAAATTCTCCACAATGATAGCTGAAAACCATAAAAACAAAATACACCACAAAGAATGCCTGTAGTTACATTCTAACTGGTTAACATCTAATTCTATTGTGCCAACTTCATATTAATAAATGCCTGTATGTTCAGACAAGGATTTTGAATGCACAGTAAACCATTATACCACATCAATATTCACCATGTTCACTTTTTAAAAGCTGTATTTTAAATGCTGGTGAGATCCTGACCTAAAGTTCTAATATCAATTAAGAGAATTCCAATGATGTTCAAAAAATATTAACTGAAGAAAGAAAAGCTCAGAAAACAGTATTTCATAGGGAAACTGTACTCTACAAGTACAACATATTCGTTCAAAAAGCTTACATTTCCAAACTTCCTGAGTTTTAGCATACACCATACCAAAGAAGTATCAAAACCATTATACTCATACAAGATAACATTGAAAGTACAAGGTAGCCTCATACCTGAATAGCACAACAGACTCACATCTAGCACACTATATGCCAAGATGGACCTTACCTTTTTGTTATTAATGCATATTTTCACTTACCAACAAGCAAGTTTAGCATGATGTACGCAATGATGACATAGAAAGAACAGAAATACATAAGAGCACCAGCATAATTTCCACAGTCTGTTTTCCAGTAGGTGCTGTTATCTGGTGTGCAAAATGGAGGCTGAACCTTCAAAACAAAAGAAAAGAAAGTAAAATGTTTCTCTGCAAACAATACAATAATTAAGACTATTATTTCTTTAAAGCTTCCCAGATAGGGAATAATACTGTGGGCATTATTGTGGGCAGGTTTTTTTTCTTCCTTTAGTAGTCAAAAACCAGAGAACAGAGAGACATATGACAAAAAAGGCTTAGGCATGGATCTCAGTCCACATGCAGGGCACATTGTGCATTATGCCACTGTACAGAAATAACCTGGTGCTCTGAAACATGATGCTTTTCAGAAATCTTCCTTCCTGCTCATTAATTTTAAAAAGGAAAGGCATATGGTTTTCTTTGTAATGGAAAGCACAGACAAACATTTACTTATAATGATTTGAGGATTAATTCTGAGGTCATCAAGACTATCATTATCATGGACAGAACCTAAGTGCAGGCATTAAAGAAAAAGTTAATCTGAAAAGACATCTTGCCCCAGTCAAAGAAGAGATAAGAGTGAAAAAGTAAGTTATTGCACTTCTGATTTTGAAACATTTTCATTTGTAAATGAAATAGTTTCATTTTTGTTTTTAAACCATCTAATAGCCTAGCTCCAAGAAATACTACACTGTGAGTATGGAATTGGAGCTGCAATGTGTGTGTCATGTTCTGAGGTTTAGTGAACATTATATCTCTTGAAGAGACAAAGGCAAGCACAGTATTCCTTCTACAAAGCTAAGATAGTGATAGCAGTTTGAGATGGAAGGGTGTATCTAATTTCTTGTCTACTTTAGCTCTGGCAGCATTGTAATTACCATGCAGTCATGCATAATTTTGTTCCAGTCTTCTCCAGTGACTATTCTGAAGAGTACAGTAATAGCCTTGCCAGCTGATGAAAAATTTGCATGTCTGTTTTAAAGAAAAAGAGAGAGAGAGATTGTTTCACTTTCCAGAAATAAAACATTGGCAAGAAAAAATGTTTTCAGTTTCTACTGTTCTACTATTTTAAACTAAAAATAGTTACAGTATCATTTGAATGAGCTCATTGAATTATTTATTTCATGACTTAAGATATAATAACTGAACTCTAGCTCAGACATGGGTCTGAGTATTTTAGTGCATTTTATTTAGACCTAAAGCAAACTCAAGGCCAGATCCTATTTCCTGTCTCCATTTTCTTCTATAAGCTTGATGATGACTGGGAAATCTCCAGTTAACTGTCTCCTCTCTGTATCAGCCTGGAATATGGATCCTGTTCTTGGGTGATGCCAATGAGATGTAGTAGGTACACCATGTTTCAGCAGCTTGCGGGTTAGCGCGGTGCTGCTTTGAAGCATATTCCAGCTGGCATAATGAAGAACAGCTCTCAGTATGCTCTCGGTTGGATTAGGTGTCATTTGGGCCAATGCACAAGGACTGGAAAGACGGCTCAGTATCAGAATAGGATGTCTCCTGTCAGAAATTCTGTTTAGAACTCTTCAGCTAGACCTGGAGAATTGTCTGTTTTTTTACCATGGATAAACTTCTCTCTAGCAGAATGTGATTTCTTCAGGCTGCTTAAAGAACATCCCCACAAGGTAGGAAGTACACACTGTACCTGTTAATGTTCTCTCCATATTTCACTGTACCAAATAAAACCACTCCAGCAAAAGCATAACAAAGAAGTAGTAAGAACATTCCCACTATGATGAAGAAACTCTTGTACATGCTGACAACCACAGTAAGGAGCAACATTTTTAGTGTCACCTGGAAGGACAGAGAAAAAATCATCTATGATGCCATTCAGGAAAGCAAAGAAAAAAAGAAAAGACAGTTCTTGCACTTGCCATTTGACAATAAATTCTTTACACACATACATTAATGGATGAGCCCAGTAAAAAGGTAGGTTATAAATCTGATTTGAAGTGTGTGTCATTTTTACTTGTTGCAGACATCAGCATATCTTCATCATTTACAAGGTCATTTACAACTCCTCAAAAAGTATATATAAGATAATACAGCTTAGGATAATACAGTGAAAATATAGCATAAGCCTAACTATAATATTCTAGAATCAGTATACTCCTGAAGTATCAGAATTAGCATTGCATGAACAGTGGTGCAATAAACTACTCTGAGCTTATCTGAAAGTGATTCTAACTGTTAGATAGAAACTACAGACACTGCAGCCTACTTAAAGGAATGGGTTGATGTATAGAGAAGGGGATTTCCTTAAGATAGGTGCAGCTTAATTAAACTATAAATTTCTCATGCAAGTTTGTGAAAGACCAGGGAGACTTTCTAGTATCCTTTCAGTACCTAAAGGAGGCCAACAATAGAGCTGGAGAGGGACTTTTTGCAAGGGCATGTAGAGACAGGACAAAGGCAAATGGCTTTAAACTGAAAGAGGGAAGGTTTAGATTAGATGTTAGGAAAAAAATATTTACTGTGAGAGTGGTGAGGCCCTGGAACAAGCTGCCCTAAAAATTTGTGGATGCCCCATCCCTGGAAGTGTTCAAGGCCAGGTTGGATGGGGTTTTGAGTAATCTGGTCTAGTGGAAGGTGTCCCTGCCTGTGGCAGGGGGCTTGGAACTAGCTGATATTTAAGGTCCCTTCCAACCCAAACCATTCTGTGAGTCTATGATTCTGCAAAGATGGCCATAGAGTTTAGGATGAGAACATAATTTTGGAAATTACATAGGCCTTAGGCCTAGATTATAGCTATTACTTTCTCATGCATGTATATTGTACATTTTACTGTTGATTGCCCTAGTTATTGCCCTAGATTGTCCCGACACCATTAACTGCTTTGAATGTGATGGAAAATTCCCTTTAATGGGACTGAGGGAGTCAGTTTTCTTTATAATCAAACCAAATTCATGCTGACCTTTAGTCATCACATTGCAACAGAACAGGTAAATTAGTGAAACTCATACAGCTTCTAACATGAAAGCACAAATGACTAGGTTAAAACCTTGAAAAAAACTTTAGAATCAATCTGAAACATTTGAAGGCAATCACTTGGTCTGGATGCATAGGAGAAGCAAGGATTTTTCATTTGACTTCCAAAAGCTCTTCAGGCTCCGTGTAGTTTGATTGAAAGAAAACTTTTTTCCTCTACTGAACAAATCCTTTGACTTACTGTTCTTAACCCCAGCAACCTAGTACAGCAGTCTTTTAATCACATTTACTTTAATATGTCAGACTTCATAGAAGATATTTGGATAGTGTAAGAAGTTCCACAGCAAGAGAATGCAGTGTCACCGCTTGTTAAATAAATGTGTTTGTTCTCTGCCTATGCTTATTCTGCCTGTCTACTCTCAATTACACCAGAGAAAATCCAAACACAAAAGAAATGTAAACTTGAGAAGTGACTTGCTTTATAACCATGCAAGTGTTTCCAGAAGAACATCTTGGCCCAATATTGTTTTAAAATTGAATGTAAGTCCTTTACCATGATAAGACATACACTGTAGAGACAAAAGACACAGACTTGCACTCTGGAGGAAGAAATTTCTGTAAAAGAGCACTATCATAATAAGATGAATGCATCAACCACTACTACTGTAGTCTTGCAGCAAAATTAAACAAATAGCATGCACATCACACTGCACTGAAATGGCAAGGGCTGAAAGTAGCGCAGTGTATGTTCAGAATTGCAGAAAGCATTTTTAAAACTGTGGTATTGCAGTGGCACTTTGTTTTTTGAAAAAAATGCAACTTTTCCAGTAAGCATAATAGAGCACTATTATACAATATACCTAAAATCCTGACATTTTAAAGACAGTATGTAAAGTTGGAGACTGCTGCTTGAAGTCTCCTTTTTTTTTTCTTTGCCTACAAAATGGAGCCCTAAAGATTTTGCTTTAGAGATGCATAGCATCTAGTCCTTTAACCTATACCTGAGCACTTCAATAGCTGTAGTTCCTAATTAATACTTACGTGCTTTCCACAAATTGAGAAAAACCTGAAGACAATTACACATGCCCCCATCATGTATGTGTACGCATTCTGGAACACAAACACAGAAGACTTAATACATTGTGCCCCAAGGATTTCTTGGAAAGATATGACAATTGATCTTTTAATAATATAGGGCAATCCCCACATAAAATAAGAGAAATCATAAACTAGTAGCAACAATATCAAAAAACCCAAACCCAGCCTCTCCACACATCAAACCAAAAAACCTTCAACCCTCTATTAATTATGTCCATCAGGCCCAGTCTACTTGTCTAGGCAGCCACCGGATTACAGAAACTCCTCAGGCCTTCCAAGCTACTTAGCAGCAGGGGGCAAACTGTGAATGTCAGGGCAAAATGTCTAGTCACAGAAGACAGGTTTTCTTTCAAACAGAGCTTGGGGCAGACAAGAGAGAATCCCACAGCCATTACAGGGTTGTGACTTTGACAACTTGTGATCGATGACAAGTATCAACCATCCCTTCTCCTTCCCTTGTAAATAAAAGAACCAGAAGTGTATTTAAATTTAAAAAACTGGTGTGGGATGGAGGGAGAGCTGATTTCCTTCCCTCTCCTCCATGTCTTCTTGGATTAATCATCCCCCCTTAACCAAAACCAGTGGTACAGAATCGCTGGTGGGTTTGGGACAGTCTATATTGTTCAGCAATTTTGAACCAATGCTTTCTTCCAGTCCTTTGCTCCCATTTGCATTCTGTGCATTGCCTCTTTCTTCCTTCTTTGCTCATGAGACTGTTGTTGGCAAGAGCTCTCAGTCTCTTCAGTCTCCTTCCTTTTCTCAGTCACATTACTCCTAAAGAATGTGTTTTCTACCACATTTACAGACTCTTAACTCATATCAGTTGTCCATGACAGTGATTCCTTCTTAGTATCAAGCTTAATGTTCTTCAGCCGTATTTCAGCCTTATTAAACTCCTGAGGGTTTATCTCAATGTATAGCAGCAATCCTACTGCTGGTGCTTAACAGATGAAATCACTTTAATCACTGCAATTTCATTCTGTAAATCTTACCAGTAAGGCAAAGTGAAGTATCACCCATATAACTCCAAGAGATGTCACCAAGAGATCATACCGATTTCTTCTGCTTTGCCAGAAGCCAGAAGGTGACATTGCAATAATCTTCATCGTGACCTAAGGATAAAAGAAATTAAAAAAATTAAATTAAAAAGTTAAATGTTCCTATGTGGACTAACCAAATAAACCAGATACTGATGTAAGGTGATGTATGTAGAGGGAACACCAGAGAGCTTCTCATACACAATTCAAGTTAAGAGCTACTAAATAAAGACCATAAATGTCAGGCATTCATTACATTATTTTTTCTATTCCACCTTGCAACCCTGCCATTTAATATTTTGGAAACCTAAACCATATATAATGTTGAGGTAAAAGGCTGATTTTCCAGGTAGTTTTTTGCCTTATAATGTTTTATGAAGCCTGACTACAGAATGAACAATATGGTCTCTGAATTTCTAATTGTGATTTGAGGTATCTGAAAATATCTTGCCTCCTTCTACCCAGTTAGCTGAGGTGCCCTAGAGAACTGGAGATAGATGCATGGGGCTGGAAGGGATGACAGAAGACCTGTAAACATCCCTACCTTTCTGCAGTGGCTAGTGGAGGTAACTGAATCTCACCCTTCATCTTCCTTGATCACAGTTACAGCTTAAACACCTACCTCGAATATGGAATTTAAGCACCTAAACTCAGGTACCTACAGTCTTGAACTGAATACCACACCATGCAAATAAAAACCCCCACATCTCTCTTTATTCTGTCATCATCAGTGTGGTAACAAAAGAGAGATCTTCAAATTCTTCCTGTTCTTCTATACCACATATATTGATGTGAGCAGTAGAGGTTTAAGATTGAATCAGGAGTCGTTAGATTAGACATAGGGCTGTTAGCTATGCAGAAAGCTTCCTCATGGATCATGCCTGCTAGTGGTAGCAGACCATGTACAAAGCAGATTCTGTAACAAGACAATGATGCCTTAGGGAAGATCCTGGGCAGGAAGCTGCTTTGTCTCCATAAATGGTGTGCACTCACAGTGTGATAGCTTGCCTGTTGAGACAACCAACAGGCTCTTTTTTGGCTCTGACAAAGTTCCTTTGAAATTCTACAAGTGTGTTTGTTTCCCCTGACAGTATAAAAGAAAAAAGTAATTCCAAAGACACAGTTACTAGGTAAATTAAAACCTGCCTGCATATGACACAAAACTTTTCTGTGTTGCTCAGTCTCCCTAGAGATACTGATCTCTCCTGGGTAGGGAAAAAAAAATCAACAACGTGGCCATACTCTAGCTACAGCTAGTGTATACAAGCTACTCACTTCATTGTTTATTCATCACTGCTGGCAAAACCTATCAGTGGAACATAGGAACTGTCATATTGGATTAGAGCAGTGGGAAACATGGTCTACTATCCTGTTTCTGATAGTGGTCAGTATCAGCTGTGTAGAATGGACTGACAAGAAAAGTAGTCAACCACAAACTTATAAAGAATTGTGTACTAACCTAACCACAGAGGAAACATCTTCTTTAACATCATAAATGTGTGCTTTGTTACACTACGGATATCCTTACACATTAAAAAACATATGCATTTCAAAATGTGGCTAAATCATTAGATTCCAATCTTATGCAAATAGGCTAAAGACACCTTGCACAGTTGTTTGTAATAACAATATTCTCATAGAAAGAGAACTGCTACCACACAGGAGCCAGATCTGTGCCCCAAAAGACAGACAATATGGACATAGCTTATTAAAGTATTAAAATGAAGTATGATACTTAAACCAAACCAAAACAAAACTAAGAGGTTTGATGATGTCACAGATACAGAATAGTGGGGATTAATGCACCGGGCAAAATAGAACCAAAACAAGCAAAACTTCCATGAGACAACACAGACTCTGTGTTATACAGAGAGAATTTAATCTGAGATGTTCTGCAAGAAAAGAGTTCACTGGGTTCACCAAAATACACTTTTAAAGGCTCAGACTTGAATACATATAAAAGGACACAAAGCTCAAGGTTGTAGAGAAGTATGACTATGAAACATTAAAAGTTTCTTCTTATAATACATGTTTAAAGACAAGTGACATGGAGAACTCTGAATGTACATGTTCAGAAGTAAATACCATAGTGAAGAATGAGACAGATTTCCTAAAGACAAAATGAAATATGTACATATGAGGCTTAATCTCAAGAAGTCTCAAAATATATTACTTTACCTCGAGGACAAAAATGAAGGTGAAAACAACGGACATTGTTGCTAAAGGTACAGTCACTGGATCTGCAGCATCCCACTGAAATACAAACAAAATCCATTCATAGAAGAGTAGCTGTTCAACAGAATAAATGCCTCTTCATTGCCTTAACTTTTCTTGAAGGTTTTGTTAGTGAATAGATTTCACTTTAAAATATGCTCAGACAGGAACGGTATCTTGGTATACTCTTCTCTTGTAGATTTATAGAAGTTAAAAATAGTGGATTGGACCACAAAAAGGCACAAATTGACTCAGCTCTAAAAGTTACAATTAATCTACAGTGATCTGCCCCAATTGAGATTGTTGTATCTAGAAATCATATTTCCTTACATTCATCACAGTAATGGCTCAGTTGATGGTTAAGTCGTGTTAGGAAATGTGCAACACATGCTGTACTACTATAAAGAAACACTTAAAAAAATCACAATTACCTTAACTGATAACAACACAGACTGCGCCAGAACAAGTACAGCAATAGTTCTCTTAAAGAATGGATGCTGAGTTATGTCATACATCTTAGCTCTAAAACCATCATTATCTGAAAAAAAAAAAAAAGAGTTCGAGGAGGAGAGTTAAAAACCACAATGGCATTTTCCCCTTACTTCTGAACATCAAAATATATTTCTAATTTTCTGCTACAATTTTCCATATCAAATAGGGCTTCTGAACATCTAATTTCAAATACTGAACACCAGTGTTGCATGAAGGTTTTGGTAGTTTTAGTGTAAGTGCATCGTTCAACTGCTGTCAGGTTAATACATTCCATTCATATCACTACAGCCAACTGCAAACATTTTTCATTTAGAAATTCATTTTATCATTAAGGCTTATCCTAAAGCCATCGAAGTAGAACCTTTTTTGGGTTGATTTTAATAGCCTTATGGAGAGATCTGTAGTTGGAGCCTGTTTCAACATTAACTTATGCACAACCTCCTAGTGGCCTCACGATTGCAGTTTTAATTTGAATTGCAGATTCCTGGGGAATTACGAACACTAGGGCTTAACATGTATAAAATCAAAATATCTTTGATACCCGGACGAGGTGGGAGATGAAGAGGTTGTGCTATCTTCAGTCTGCTTTTCAGATCTTCCCATCGTCTCTGATCTACAGTCAGTAAAGCTGTCCCCTTAATAAACAAAGAGAAGCGTATAAAGCTTTTGTCATTTAACAGCTAGAACATTCAACACTGTAACATGAAAACAACATTCTCTTTGGTGCCTGAAATAAAGTTACATATGCAACTTTCCTTAAATAACACACTGTTTGGGTAAAGGAGTCTGAAGTATCAGCTGTTACTCAAGAGGATTTCTGGATGCATTAGCTGTGTGTTTCCGGAACTCAACTCAGCAGGCACAGTTGTTCTTTGTAGCAGCAGCCCAGTGTGGGCAATGAAACACTGCAGGATGTCTTCTGTTTGACTGAACATCATTTGCCAGGAAGCACTATTTTAAAGACTGGTCGATTTTGTCTGGACTTTGCAGCAGAAAATCCTGTGGCTTGTCAGTGTCTCTACAGTTTCTCAGGGAACAAGCCCTCCAGGAGACCACTGCTGCTCTCCACAGCTCTTCTGCTTGGGGTGTAATTGAAATAAAATAATAGTATGCTATGAATCTACAAGAGCTCTCCATGGAGGAAGCACAAAGAGAGGTGGAGACACACCCTTAGGGTGGGGTGGTGGTAGCTGGTATGTGTGTAAATGTTCTCATAACATAGGAAGAAAAAGCAGACTCCAAACGGAATTCAATGTTATCTAAAATGACCTTCAAAGCAAAGTGAGTTCCTTGTAACTTCAGAGAACTGTAAAATCTCATGGAAGGATTCTAGAGTTACAAAAACAAGGGAGACCTTTTCAAGGTAAGTGTCAAAAGGCTGCTCTCCCCGTTAGAAAGGAGCTGCACTGAGCTGGGTGAGGGCTGGGGTGATCTTTGGGGCTCACCTGGGAATTGGCTTGTTTAGATGCTTGAACTGAGGCTGGCTGTGCAACTGATAAGGTCAGGATTCCTCCCTCTTAGTGGACATAATCTCTTTATGGAACTGTGTCCCCAGACAGCACCCTGGGAAGAGGTGCCTTCCAACACAATCCAGAAAAAGTGATAGATGTAAGGATGCTGGCTACTTGTGTCAGGGCCAAATCGTACCATTTAGAAATGCTTAAATTAAAAGGAACTCATTAACCCCAATGAGCATGTCTGGTTTATATTCTTGGAGAGCCTTCACTGCAAACAAGATAAAAGGTGGCAAAAAAGAGTGGACTCCTCTAAAATCTAGAAATAATGGTGCCACGTTGCTTTGCCGCTCAGAGACTGCAGTTCCACAAGTGGGATCATTATAAGGGGACCACAGAGCAGAGCCCTGCGAGTAGGACTACTGCTGGAGGAGCTGTGTTTGCATTTGGACTTTATCACAAAGTGGTAGCTAATACTTGAGTATTGACACATTTGAAGGAAAAGTAATATTGCACAGCTGAACAAGAAGAGGCAGAAGCATCTATAAAAATCCAATGGAATTCTCTGTCAAAATTTAGTGAATAAGAAAATAAATGAATAACACATTGCTCCTTGTTCTCTAGAACAGATACATTTTAACAGGAATGACCACACTTTATCTCACCAAAATTACACTGGAGCTATGCAAATATAAAAATACCTTCAGAATAGCAGAGGTTTTAGGCCATTTATTTGGCTCACAAAGTGTTTGACTCAATTGCATGATGCCTTGCTTGCCCATGCTACATGCACAGTAGTGTGCTGCTCAGCTCCCTTCTAGAAGGAGTCAAAGGGTCTTCCTGAAGGACAAACTCCACAGTTGCGTTTGCTACAGAGTTTGGATTAGGGTCATAGCCAGCAACCAGTCTCCAGCATTAGCACACTGGGTTGTTGCACATCTCCACACCCCAGAGTCTGCAATAATCCTTTCTCTCCAGTGCCATGAGTGATAAAAATATCATATCTCATTATTTCTGTCACTTTGAACCAAAAGATGAAAAAAATTAATAATTATGTCCCGATGCCTCAGGGGCACCATAAGAGGCTCAGAAAATCCCCTCAGATTAAGCGTTGGGCAGTGTGTATGCAGCAAATCTATCCAGAGTATTCTATCTTTAACAAGTGTAGACATAAGCTGCTCTGCAACAATTCCCCTGGGGACAAGTTTTTCTATTTCTCAGGGTAATCCAAAAAGCCCATGTGAACTTCTCTAGAAAACTAACTACCTTTTTGTTTAAGTGATGGACAATTATTTTTACAATGTACTCTGCTGTTTGCCAGGAAAAAGTCACACAGCTTTACTCTGGATATGAAATACTGCAATGAGAGGGCTCTAATGAGACCTCTTAGCTGCAACACATACAAGTATAACGCATCTTTTTATCTGCCACGGCATGTATGCCTACATCAAACTAAACCAGCAGCATCTGTAAATACATTGTGCTTTAGGTTCAGTCTCCATCTAGCAGCATGGCTGCAATATAAATAAACTCAGACAGCTTTGACAGAGTATGTGATGGGTTGCTATCATCACAGGTTTCAGTTCTGTAGCAAGCATGGATCAGACGGATCTGAAGACTTGCAGTGTTGCGGAATGCAAGATCAGTAAGCCAGTCTTCAAGGCAGCCTTACCAGGTAATGCAGACAGTGTAGTATCAGTTTCACGTTTCTTACAGTCAGTTCTACTGAATAAAATGTCTCACTCAGAATAAGCCACCTCATTCAGTACCTTGTTTTCATTAAAATTAGCGATGACAACTCCAACAAAAAGGGTCAGTCCAATCATGCAGCCAAGAAATACAAAAACGTGAATGTAGATTCCATGGATCTGAATAGACAAAAGTAAGATTTATAGTTAAGACAAATCAAAGGTAGGTGTTGTAGAATTCAAAGGCTTTGATGTGTTTCCTTACCGGCCCAACTCGATGAATAATAACATCTCTGACTTCCACCCAACCTTTTAATGAAAGAACTTCGAATAGTGCCAGCATTGCATTGCCCACATTGTCAAAATTAAAATTCCGAGGATTTGCCCTGAAATGCAGTACACAAATAGGTGTAACTTCAGCAATAAAGTTGTTCTATTTGATACCTTGATTCTTGATAGCCTAACATTTAAATACCCTGCAAAGCTAGTGTGAAAGCTTCTGGAACACATCAAAGTTCTGTATCAAGAATAAGAAAACAGTAGCAACAGCAAAAAATATTTAAAGCATAATATTTTAGATCCCTATGTATGGCTTATTTTCTTATTCAGAATCTGATTCACAGTAATAAAGCTTAAAATATGTTCAAGGTTCAGGTTGAATGAGGCTTTAAGCAACCTGGTGTAGTGAAAGGTGTTCCTGTCCATGGCAAGGGCGTTGGAACTAGAGGATCTTTAAGGTTCCTTCCAACCCAAACCATTCTATGACAGTATGTTGCTGCATTTTAGTGGTTTTGCCATTGAAATTAGAAAAATACAGCATTCATGAAAAAATAGATCTGATGGCATTGGCCGGATTCTAAAATAAATTTACCTGTAGGAGATCATTCTCTAACACACATAGAAAATCTGGACTCCAAAGTCAGCAAGATTATTTAGAAAACGTAGTTCCCTGTTACATTATCATCAGGAACTGTCACTCTAAAGCAAAACTTAGTGCAATGACATCATATCTTCTTGGCTTACCTATACCATACGCTCTAATCTTTTTTATCAGTTGACATTCAAAAGATTGTTTGCAATTGAACATTAAAAGTACCCTCCTTGGGCTAGGTTAGCATGGTGTTCTGTCTCTACAATCCAAAACAGACAATCCAAAGAGCACAATGACTTTTCAACAGTCTATAAGCTAAATAGTTGTATTCCAGAAGAGTTATTACGTGTTTGGTGCCTCTTAAATCCAATCAGTCAGTGAAAATAGAGCTCTCAGATGCAGATATTTCATTTTAATGCAGTCCTTATACTGACATCTGGCTCTTGAAAATCTGGCATGACACAGCCAACAGGTGATATAAACGTCCTTGCAGTAAAACATTTTTCTGCAATATTCCCCAAAGTTTACAATTATGCTGATTAAGGCAGCTTTTGCTTATTTCTGGATCAAGCTGAACAGGATTGAATTTGCTTACTTGGGGAAGAATTTGTCTGAAGCATACAGAAACAAAGACATCTGCAGATGTCAGAATTTCACTGACTGTTCAAATCACAGCATATTATTTCATTAGTATAGGATGGATCTGAAACCACCACTGCTGGTATATTCTTTATGCACACACATGGCCAATTAAAATAATTGTGGCTGTTAAGATGATTCTGCAAAATGCCAACCAAGTGAAAAATACAAAAAATTAAAAAGAGGGAGTTTTGCCTGTTCAGGTGTTGAGAAATATTAAATGGACTTTATTAGAATACTAATTAAAAAGATATGTTAGCTTTTAAATAATTTTTACTGCATTTCTGCAATAGATAGACCACAAGGACTCCCTACATTGGAAAAAAAAAGAAGCTGCTAGCTGGCATGGTTGATGGCCATAGAAGAGAAAGTCTGGTTTTAGACATGACTTGCTCATTTGTTTTTATGGGTAGCTGTAGGAAAGTTGATTTACATTTCTTTTTCTTCCATCTTTTTGTATATATTCTTAGGTTCTGTGTTGCTGTATGGCTCTCACGATGTCTCTATAATAGTACTAAAGAACAATTAAGTGATAATTCTTTGAGAAAATAACTCCCACTGTAATAATAACCAAATCAAATCTAATTCCTATATAGGTTTAGTATCTATAAGGGATATCTATAGATATATAGATACTATATATAGATATAGATATAGATATAGATATAGATATAGATATAGATATAGATATAGATATCCCTTACAGTATCTATAAATCTATAAGGGATTTATACCTTTCTGGTTTATGAAGTTAAGGTTAAGTCCAGAAAAGTTTCATATATATGGCTTTTTACTAAATATGCCAGAATTTTTACCCTTAATATCATTTAAATTACAATAAAACCCCTCAATCAATAGTTTAATGCTATGAGATTTGAGCCATTTTTCTACACCAACAGCTGCATTTTTGGAAGAAAAATAGGTAAATATGTAGCAACTCACCAGACTCGTGGCACCCAAAATCCAGGCTTTTTCTCTCCAGGTCTTAACTTTAAATTGAGGTTTTTGGAAACACTTACATTTATTCTGAAGATGCCATGACAGTCTTCCTATAGTGAAATAAACCACAGCCTGAGGTTAAACAAATGCCCTGAGAGATGCCAACATGCCATCATAAACAGGACATTTGCCACAATGGGAAAGCAATGTAAAGAGAAATGAAAGGTTATTTACAGGTCTGTGATTAATAGTCATGGACCTTTATCCAAATGAAAAATGCATCTTAGCAAGGATTCAAAATGCTCTTTTTCTCCCAGGATTGACAATGCTTTTCAATTTGCAAGACTATGTAGCCTTTCATCTCTTTCCTAAAGACCATTGGTCTCTTCAGGTGATGACGATATTTCCCCAAATGGAGTACGAAACAAGGATAACTTTCTGCATGTAATCCACATAGCGTTCCCAGTGCTTTGAACCTCTAGCAGTCTAACCTGTTTTTCATTTGTGGACCTAGGAATGCAGAGGTGCAATTTTCCATTGTTAATTCCATGTGCCATCCAGTCCTTTGCAGATAATAATGGCATTAATTTGACAATTTTCTTCAAGACAGTCCTCAATATTTGGACTTGCTTTACTTTTTTAATCAAAACACATCCTTATCCTCATTCACTGAATCCTTTTTTACCTCTTCCTCCATCATTCTGATTATGAACAAGAAAGTGCCCAAGATCTCCATTTCTCATATGACAGCTCTGATTTCCTCACTTGCTTTCCCTAGCAGGTAGAAATTGCACAACATACCAATATTTTGAAGCAGAAAAGTAGTTCTTACCCTAGAGATGATGTGAGGATCATTGCATTTGGCCAGTTTTCCAGCAAATAGCTGCACTCCAAAGCTTGCAAAAACAAGCATTAAAGTCAGCAAAAGTATAGAAACCTGTAAAGATGAAGTTAGATTTGTTAAGCTCTACTCCTACAGACTTGAAAAAGGGGGTCAGCTCCTTTGGGGAACTGCAGGTCGGATAGTTTTGTGGCATAAACCTGGAGATATGGCTTTCATGACAGATACGTTACTTTAGGTTCTGATGCAGTAACCAGGTGCTGCCTTAGTATTAGTCTTATCATTAACATAGGATCTAAAAATAGCAGATAAGGATCAAAGCTTTCTTGCATTCAGTGTACCACCTCGCTAAATTCTGTATGCATAAGAATTACCATTCACTTTAAAGAGAACTTTTCAAGTACTTAAATATGTGCTCCTTCTGTTTTTCTGAATCAGGCTTTACTAACTAATCCAAGTAAGATATTGTTAGATATTTATCCAGGATAGTTACAATAAAGATACGCATGAGTAAATTATGATGTAAATATCTTTAACAGAATACTGTATCTATGAAATACTAACTAGCTTTATACTTTTTGTCCTTGTTCTATTACTGCCTGCAAATAATTTGTAGCTTTGCCTTTTATATCAATGTGACCTAATACAGCATCCTGCTAAGGAATAAAATATCTGTTATTTAGGCTGACAAATATCACATAGGGTCTCAAGGCAATAGATTAGGTTCTGATCAAGCAATCACAGACTCCATTACTGTTATTATTACTATAAGTGCATAATTATGATCATAGTAATAACAATAACGTAACAATGAGATCCAGATCTGTGATAAGCAGCTCTATTGTCTCTGGTTGCCTCTTAAAAAACTTGGAGGTAGAGACCTTCAGCTCAGAAACCAGATTTACTTTTGTTCTTGCAGAGCTGCCATATGCTACTTCTTATCTTCCTTGCCCAACTAGAAGTGTGAATAAGGAATATTTTTTTTTTCAGTAGTCCTCCTATGTAACTGTGGTGAAATGTATGCTGAATTAATATAACTTATAAAAGAATTATTAAAGCAGCTTTATTCAGTATAAATATGAGTTACTTATATTCCTAATTTTTAACCTGTTCTGTGGTCATCTCCAGTGATAGCCACGATGAAAAGTAAACAGACAACAATGGTGAAAAGAATAGAAAACATACATGTTATAGCAAAATGTTATCTTATTACTCCTTCATATATTTTAACAAGAAAAAAAATAATTGGCACATACCAAAAAAATTTCCTTAAAGCCACTAAACAGCTCTCGCACCACTTTTCTCATCTGAGGGACTAGTTTGAAAATTCGAAGAGGTCGGAGGCAGCGGAGTACCATTAAGAGCTGAGCTCCGGATTTGGCAGGGACATTCTGAGGCATCCAGCACAGGAATATCAAACTGACCTGGAGATGACAGGGCAGGAAAGGGCAAAGAAGGATTAGGTTTACAATGCCTTACTTGACATAGACACAGCACAGAAGATCAATGGCTGCTTCTCTTCCTTAAAATTAAAGGAAAGAATAAGGCAGAAAAGCACCTAATTTAGAAAATGGACTTGGACCTCTTGTATCCTGGCTTATTGTCTTAACTAACAGGCATCAGCTTCAGTCTCTGTATTCCCCTTTGACTCAGAATCTACTTGATACTTTTCAGCAGATGGAACTGTTCCAAAAGAGGAAACCAATTTGGCTGATTCAGAATAGGGTCAGAAACTATATTCTTGGAGCAGGCAGCATTATTGCTCTCCCCCTTCTCATTTCAGAGATTCTATCCTGAATCTTAGAAATCCTCACCTGGAAAATCTGTTAACAGTTTTCTCGACAGTTTTTCCTACCACTTTGTTACAGGCATAAATAGTTTTGTCACCACGTGGTCTCATCACATAAATGTTATGTATTGGAAAACATTTTTAAACAGCACAGTCGTGTCTTGTAGCCTCAGCAATCTCTGACAAATGGTTGTTGATTTAAAGTCTGTTAATTACTTCTTATTTTTTAAAAGCCAATGTTATTATAGGGGGACAGAGGCGAGAGTGTTACAATGAAGTAAGTGTACAAAAAATGGAGGATCAAGCTGATATCACCAATATGATTTAAAACATAATATGAATTGTTGAAACAACAGTGACAAAAGACAGCTGCTCCATCAAGACAAAATGATTTGCCAGTGCTTCTAACTATATTTCATATTCTTTTAAGACCACCACAAGCACATTTGGAATATCCAAGCTACACCACCTAAATTTTCCTTCAGACAAGCAGAGGGATTCAGAGAGATTTGAAGAATTATGCATACTACAGTAGGAGTTTTGTACAAGTATGCATATTTTTATTTGCTAACAATGGAATCTTAGATACAAATTGATCATGACAAATTTTATGCAGCACATCTGCCTGGTGAATTTATCTCTGAAAGATTTAATCTAAATCCATCAAAGCCATTTTTCTCAGTAATTTCTTCAGTACTAAATAACAGAATATGCTGAGTTGGAAGGGACCCACAAGGATCATCAAGTTCAGCCCTTAGCCCTGCACAGGACCATCCCTGAGAGTCACATCATGTGCCCAAGAGTATTGTCCAACTGCTTTTTGAACTCCTTCAGGCTTTGTGCTTTGACCACTTACCTGAGGAGCCTGTTTTAGTGCCCAACCACAAATAAAAATATTTCATACTGCATTATACTGGGCACTGGTTTTGACATTCTGTGGTGTTTACTGTCATATGTGAAGAGGAAATGGACACCCTTCTCCTGTATTTGAATGCACGAAATTTCTCAGGTACAAAGCAAACAGTAGAGCAATTTTTTTTCCTGAGAACCACTACTGATAGGTATAGGGTATAGAAAGATGTTGTTTTGCTTTCTGCTACAGCGACACCAGCAACAAGGATGTGCCCTTCATCAAATATTAAAGGCTTTTGAAACACCTTCTATAAGGCAAGAATACTGTGGAGAGCGGTAGAAGCAATGAGTATCTATGAAACAGATAAAATAAAGATTCTCCTGCATAAGAATGCTGAAGCGAGGTCAGAGATCTTGAGTTTACTTTGGAATTAAATCAGATCTGACACTTAAAGCATATCACCAAATAAACAATTAAAAGGGACCATACAATGACCCTACACTAAATTGCCAGGTGCTTATCACATCGGTGTATTTTTAGATGTCTAAACAAGTATTTGTACACATAACTGACAGAAATGCACATGAAAACAGCAGTGTCTGAACACAAATTATACTACTATATTTGCATCAGGGTGCAGAGCCAAACTTTTTCATACTACTAAACATTTATATAACCGAAGATATCAAAATTATGAATGCTACAAAAACCTCCCATAAATACAAAAACTTACAAGATATATAAATATGTCCATAACGCCTCCAAAGTCCCTAATGACAGCTGTTGGTGTAAAAAACAAGCCATCTGCCATAATCTTCAGATTAAGCTCAATGCTCATGAATATTACAAAAACATATTCAGCAATCTGAAAAGCAAAGCAGAAAACAGGCATAATTTAAGAACAGGCAGTGGAGAAAACCGAGGTGATTGTGCTTCGTTAATTGTAAAATGATTTGGTGGTAGTACCTGGAGTGTTGGAGCATGCATAACTCTTCTAAAAGGGGATTCGAACATCATGGAAATGCAGGAGCATATAGTAACAATGATCATGACCCAGTCCAGGTAAGTAACCAAACCCAGCAAGTCACTGTGAACAATACATAAGGAAATTCCATTACAGAAATGCCTAGAGTGCTGTGTACTTGTGCCACGCCTACAGCACAGTTAAGTGCTTTCCTATGAAAAATAAATTAAGCTGAGGAGTATCAAAGATTTCAGTATTTCAGAAATGTGTACTAAAACCAGAGAAGTTGCATGCAAGTGAAGAAGAAAAGTCTGATTAAAACATCTGCTTCCTATTCATCCTCCTCCCCAATCAACTTTTTGGGAAAAAAAAAATATACATGTGCATGCACATATACACACATACATGCAGGTGTGTGCTCACACACTTATGCTGCAGGCTTATGTGACCAAGCAAAGTTACTTTTACAGTGCTTACTAAAGCTGATGGTATTTGGTATTTTTCACAGCTCCAGTAACAGGATCTGTTTTAGAACTATAAAAAGAAGAAAAGATACAGTAATTTACATTTTATTTTAGTTAACATTATAATTATACCATGCATCTGTCACCTCAAAGTAATTTCTGTCCAAAATCAAGGCTCCATTTTATCTCATCTTAATTTTAAATGTCTGAATAAGTTTCATTTAATTCTATGCAATTTCAGTCATATTACCAACACAGCTGGTATCACTTTAACTCATTGCTTACCTGTAATTCCTCTGATGATTCCTTGAACTGCGAGTTTTTTGGGTCTTGCTTTTGCAAACAAGGATTTAATTTTGTATTTGCTTGGAAATGATGGCACTAAGCTGCTACTGAATTTTATGTACCAAGGTATTCCCTCAGGAGTTCTTTAATTTCAAAACTTCTTGGACCATGGCTGGATGGGGCTCTGAGCAACCTGTCCTAGTGAAAGCTGTCCCTGTCCATGGCAGAGGGGGTTGAACTAGGTGATCTTTAAGGCCCCTTCCAACTTAAACCACTCCTTATGATTTTGTGATTCTATGATATCCTCAGTTAACATACACACACACAAAGCCTTCCACATGACCTATTCCTTTTACTATTTCTTGAGTCTTTTTCTGATTAATATTTTTAGATTCTCCATATCTGAATTTTCCTATGTAATTGCTGTGCTCCACCTACCATGTCCAAACACCCATTAGGAAGTCAGAAAGAGTGAGAACCACTTTATAAGTAATATACACATATCTAGGAGACGTGAGTTAAGTTCTGGCTGCAGCAATTATTTATTGATTCTTAAAGTCAAGTCTTTTCCCCCTATTTTACATAGTAGCATTCCTCAGCCTTTTTTACTAGAAGAAAATATGTATCTTACCAGTTTGAAAAACATATCTAAAATACCTTACTTGGCAAGCTAGGTAGGACAATGAATAAAGCAGGTAGGATTTAAAGAAATGAAAAAATGTACTGTTTAAGAAAATCAGTTTATTGTTATAATTGCAAATATTTTCTTTAAACTGTTTTAATGTAAATACCCTACTACCATCAGGCACTCCACAATGGTAAGAGGCACTGACAAGTTTTTGACAAGTGGATTGGAATGACTGTGTGGTTTTTTTTCTGTGTTAATTTGCAGTGCTTCATGGACCAGTGCACCACAATCAAGTTAGCAGTTGTATAAAAAAGTGGACGTGCCTCTACACACATGGCAGAACACTTAAATATAGGTATTGTTAAAACTGAATATCTAACCTTCCTGCCATGCTAACCAATTTGTTGAAGGGCACAGAGAAAATCAGTGATAAAGCAGGTACTGAAACCAGTCCTTACAAGGGCCAAGCTCATAGTCTTGAGCTATCTTGAGTCTTACACTGTTTGCAAGGTGACATGCACTAACCCTCAAAAATTAGGATGCCAGTCACAGACAGAGGTTTAAAAGAAGAGCTGTAAGATTGTTTTATATCAAGCTGCTTGTACATAGATCTCTATCTGCCATGCTCACACACACAGTTTAGTTGCTGAGTCTTCCTGATTTTCATCTGGTTTCAGCTTTTCTTCTTTTATCTCCCAGAGCTGAACACCTCCCCATCCCATTCTGGGTCCCTAATTATGGGCTGCAGAGTCTTCGGGTGAGCATAGGTGTGATTCATTTCTCTTTACCTTTTTCTGTTCTATGAGTAACTAACTGCTGGTGTATAAAAACTTCTCGCTTTATGATGAGGAATAGGAAGGAAATAGCAAGCTGATTCCCCAGGGTCTAAAACTGGGAAACATTAGCCTTTCCTCTCAGTTCATGTCAGTGGTTTCTCCACAGTCTTGTCCCATCTCAGCACCACAGACTGCTCTAACACATCTGCCCCTACACAGCATTTTTTTGCTTCCTTTCTTTCAACAGCAAGACTACACCATAGAAAACTGACCGCCAGCTTGTCTGGTGACCACATTATATGCAGTTTTTCTTGTAAAAGAAAAGTTAGAACGTGATTTTGGAGGATATGAAGGTAAACGTGTTGGAACCAATGTTGATACGAAATGAACTTACGCATTAAAGCGAGCTCGTACCACCACTCGGCAGAAATTCCTGAATCTGTGCTCACGACCAACTATGAAAAGGGGTTTATCAAAATATGGATGATTCTCTCGCAGCTCCTCCTCCTGGACTTTCCTTTTGAAAAAAACATAAATTATTAAGTGTTATGCATTATAACAGGCAAAAATAACCCTTACACTTTGTTCTTTTTTTCATGTTGACTCTCAATACATTTTACTTCATACAGAGAATAGTTAACACAGAAAATGTGCACTCAGACTTTGACTGTTAAATACCTTTTCATTTCAGCTTGTTCCTTTTTTTCTTGGATCATCTTTATCTCACTGTCTTCTCTCTGTGCATTTCTGTATCTCACTGTGTTAGAGTGCTAGAAGCAAAATGATTCCTTTTAAATAAGGTCTGAGGGTTGTTGTTTTTTAATGTTTCAGATGAAAGCAAGATATGGTATTTTACATAGAAATATTAAAATGAAAGGTCTTTATTTCCAATTGTACTGCACATCAACTCAGTCAAGCATATTGCACAGTATTTTCCATCTACAACATAAGGCTCCTTATTTTCATCAAGGTTAATTTCAGTTCTAATTTCATGCTCGAGGTTCCATCCAATCTAACTTTTAACTTTAAAAACAGAGGTCCTGTAAGCTCAGCCAGTCTCTCTGAACTGGAATGAATATCATCAAAGTTACTAAGGGCAAAGACTGGGAAAGAAAAGGCTTTAGACACCCCTTAAGCTTCTCAAGCCTGCTGCATGGCTGCCACGCTGCGGGGCATGCAGAACATACAGGCAGTGAATGCTGAGTGCAGGGACAGAGAGAGTGAGGGAGGATGCCGTCTGAGCTCATCCAGTGAAGGGTACAATCAGTATTACTATTCTGAGTTATGTGAGTCTTTGGAGCACTCATGGTGGGGTAATGCTGGGTGTTATCCTTACTAATGGACACTAACAAGGTCACATCTGCTTTAGTTATCTACAGTTTAAGTTCAACAAGACCAAGTGCTGGGTCCTGCACTTTGGCCATGACAACCCCATGGAGCACTAGAGGCTGGGGACAGAATGGCTGGAGAGCAGCCAGGCAGAAAGGTACTGATTGACAGCAGGCTGAACATGAGCCAGCAGTGTGCCCAGGTGGCCAAGGTGGCCAATGGCATCCTGGCCTGTATCAGGAATAGTGTGGCCAGCAGGACTAGGGAAGTGATTCTTCCCCTATATGCAGTGCTGGTGAGGTCACACCTCAAGTACTGTGTCCAGTTCTGGGCCCCTCAATTTAGGAAGGAAATTGAGGCGCTGAAGCAGGTCCAGAAAAAGGCAATGAGGCTTGTAAGGGTCTGAGTACAAGACCAATGAGGAGTGGCTGAGGGAGCTGGGGAGAGCTGGGAGAACAGGAGGCTCAGGGGAGACCTTACCACTCTCTACAACTACCTGAAAGGAGGTTGTAGCCAGGTGGGGGTCGGTCTCTTCTCCCAGACAACTAGTGACAGGACAAGAGGACAGTCTTAAGCTGTGCCAGAGGAGATTTAGGTTGGACATTAGGAAGAACTTCACAGAAAGAGTGACTGGGCATTGGAATGGGCTACCCAGGAAGGTGGTGGATTCACCATACCTGGAGATGTTTAAGAAAAGACTAGATGTGGCACTTAATGACATGGTCTAGTTGACAAGGTGAATTAGGCCATAGGCTGGACTCGATGATCTCAGAGGTCTTTTCCAACCTAATTGATTCTGTGATTCTGTGATTCTGTTTCTTTAAAGACTTTGATAGTTTGAATGAGAGGACTAATATTGCCCCTTGAATTTCCATCGTCACAGAGTTCCATAAAATATGGTATGAATTTGCAGAAATGAAAACGCACTTAACTGTATGAAACTACACCACAGTGAAATTCATGATTACTATTTTCCCTTTTAGTCTTTGTCCTTTCATCTGACAGTTCTACTGCTTGAAAAATATTGCTAAACTTCCACCAGAAATTCTGAAGTGCTGTATTGCCAGCCTGAGTGATCTGTGTAATTCCAGAGTAAGCCTTTTTAAGGTGTCCTGGGTAGCAATTGTTGTGTTCCTAATGTAGTATCTACAGCTTCAGTGAATCTATCTCAGCAAGTGTTCCAAAACCAGTAAGTCTATCAGTGAAATAACCATGGCAATTATTTTGAGGATAATTCTAATGCAGTTACAGTATTTGTTATATGACTTCCTTTCAAGATTTCAAAAGATAAATTGTAAGCTACTTCATAAATAGAAATTAGTCTTACACAAGCATTTATTTGATAGTATGTAGTCTTACTTTTTACATTCCCAAAAATCAAAACCATCATTTCTATGAGGACTTACATCTTGAGTCAACGTTTCAAGAGATTTTCCTCTGCTGATTCTCTGGCTGTTGGAACCATGTCTCAGTGACCTGAAACAATAATAATCAATTTAACAATACATCTCAAGATGAAATTTTGACCTTTATAAGATGGCCATTATAAAGCACTGCTCTCCAGACACCCAATATCTCAAATTTTTATCATTTTTCTCTCGCTAACATCAGAAGCTTATATGTTCTTCAATTGTTTTCAATCTGGTCTAACATAAGCCAATTTCTTTCCTTCTGATCTTTAAACTGATAGCTTTGTAGTTGGCAAAGGGAATGACATTTGAAATAAAAAGGTATTTTTTCCATTTATACAGTACAATGAATTTCATCATGGTTACAATGAAGAATGTAGAATTCAGTTCTTTGTACAAGTAGGTAATTTTGGGTTTTCACGTCTTAAGTATTGCTCAAATTTAATTCTTTTTGTCACCTTTATTTTAAGAATAGTTTTAAAACCATCTCTTTTGTCCATGTTTACCTGCGTTCTTGTCGTATATGATGCTGGACACTAAGTATTGACCTTTCCTTTGCTGGCTGCCCCTCAAATGATCCACTCAGCATGCGTTGTCTAGTGCAGGCCCTACAAAGAAATATAAATATGATGACAGAGAGTTTTCAGTATAAATGATAATTTCAGAGGTAGCATATTCAGAAAAGTCAGCTTTGCTTTGTGGGAACCAAGTTCTTCAATAATAACAGACAAAAATAATAAAAGAGTAATGTACTTTCCATGAAAACATGTCCAAAGCAATGGTCCTCACTCTGCAACACAACCAGTCATCCAATGAACCTCCTTCATGCCTTAGCAAGGGCCATCTACAACTTTTTTATCCAGTTTGCTGTAGAATTTATGGTCCCTCAAGAGTTCACAAAGTGTGAAAGGGCTGAAGCGACGCACTAATCCTCAGTAAAACCAGCTTCTCAGCAATAAAGAAGGGAATAGGACAAGTACAACAGCAATTTTAGTTCCTTTCAGGGCTGTATGTACACGTCTAAGACTTACAGCATAACTTTGAGTGTTCTAAATAACTGGAACCATATATGGTATGAAATGAAAAGCTGCACGTTGCTGATATCCTGCAAATGAAATGTCTGCTCTCTGTGAATGCATTCAACTTGCAGCATTTTGCTGTGTGGGTTTTCTCACTTGTTTGCTCACAGTTCATTTTGTTTTGGCAAACACATTTTACATTTTACACATTTTGGCAGAGATGAGTATTTGTTGGCTAGTAAGTGTGCTACAGCTAAACAGAGCATGCATATCTTTACCTTGATGGCTACAATGGAATTGATTTGCTTAAGAAAAAGAGATGTTTCCACTGAAATAGCTCACACAAATATTCTGATGCCTGAGAGATGGAATTTCAACACTGGAAACATATTTTAACATTCCGGGAATGCTTCAATTTTAAGTTTACACTGTGCAATCCTTATTGCTCATTTTGTGTTATACAACCATCCAGAGAAACACAAGACCCAACTGGTAATATTCCATACTTTTTATTGAATAGAATCTCCTTTTTTTAAAAAAAAAGATTAAAAAAATCATACACCATTTGAGTAACCACTCAGTTTGCCAGTCTGCTGTAAGGCTTAGATAAATGCTGGCCTTGACAGCATGGAATGAGCATGCTTGATTGCAAAAGGTGTACATGGCATGTTCTTTCCCCACTGTGACTTTGTTTTTCACTCTTCTGTGTTTTTTCTCCTTCTTTTGGATATAAACACATAAATGATAGAAGTATGAATCCAAATTGAGATCTGGAACAAAAACAAGAAGCTTAGAATGCTTATCAGTGTCATCACTGCCCGTCAGATTAGCATGCCAGAAAAAAATACATTGTGCTACACTTGTTATAAAAAGCATTAGGTTATACTACACTGAACTGAAGCATCATGACATTTAAGAAAATTACTACATGTCTTATAAAACACAGCTCATCTTAGGCAAATCATGAACATTTTAATGCCAATGGATTTTAAGCATTATATTATGGAGGATGATACCATATAACACTGTCAGAAAACAACAGAGATATCTGAATACCTGTGCAATTTTTGACTAAAAAAAGAAAAAAGCAAAAAATTATTTCCTAAAAATGGATTATATCTAAATCCATTAAAATGACAGTTCAGTTTTTCCTAGGAAAGACAATGGAAAGTTCTGTATAGAGGGTTCTCGCTGTGACAAAGAGATTAACTTATCTTTTTTTTTCCCCCTGTAAATATAAATTATTGTGCTTTGCTTTTAACAGCTAGAAATTATTTTCTTGACATCAAAAAGTGACTTGCACATAAACTTTTCATATTCTTGTACACAATTACTTGAATACCAAGCTACATAAACTCTTAGTGTTCACAATAAAAGAGATTTTAAATGCTTAAACAATAAGGCCTAGAGTGAAACCACCACAATTCTTTACCTGACTAATGAACAAGATGGCTTATTTTATTATTAATTGTATAATACAATAGACTTAGCCCATATACTATGGGCATACTATGGCAGAATGGGCATGCATAAAGAGTAACTAACACCTGTAGAAAGACTTAGTATTGTTTATGATCTCTAAATTAGATTACTAAATCCATATTTGGAATTTACATCCATTGCCTTATTTTCAATACCTCTGGAAGCCTTGCAGCTCCTACTGAACAGAGAAATAATGAAATGCCAGTTGTATAGCAGAGAGATCAGAAATTTTTATCAAGTAATTGCAAAGAAATTTTTTTGCATTTCCAGAGAAAAAGATGCTGTCCTGAAAAGGCCATGGCTCCTTTTGACAGTCCCTCTCTGAGCATTCTCCACTTCATGGGAATGACTGCCTTAATCTTCCTTGTATTTCCAGATACTTTGTTATACTTTCTTATACTTTTGACTCAGAATCTGGATATTTTTCAGCTGCTTAGACACCTAGAGTTGCAGATCTTTGGGACTTTTGAAAAAGAAGGCAAGTGCCATGAAGTTTTCAGAATGGCATGGTTGCCAATTTAAAAGTCTGCAGTAGGATTTGCGTTCTCATTGCAGACGTACACTTACGTACTCACTCTCAGTGCCTCCATGTGATCCATGTGTCCAGGCTTCCCTCATAACCAACACAGATGTAGGACTCAATTAAATTGGTTGTACAGAGGTGTCCAGCACCACCTGCCATGCCTTGGAGTATCTTGCCTTGCTTCCAGCTGCTGCTCCATCAGGGTACAAGGTACAATAGTCCTACAAATTTCTGTATTACCTCCCATTTTCAAGAGGATGTCTTTGACATCCTCTGGCATCTCATACAGTACTGTATGTCCCTATGTGGACAACTTCATTGAATGCTTGGTCAATTAATCTAATGAATTATGTTCTGAAAGTATTAAAGTAATCATAAAATGGGCATCTAAAGACAAAGCAGTCAGCTAAAGAACTCACTGGGCTCCACTATTTTTATTGTAGAACTTGGAACAGAGTCCAGCAGCTGCCAACTACATGCTCCAAATCTTCCTTGAAAAGCGCAAATACAATAAAATATCCTGAAAGAGAAAATGCAATTTTTTTGGTTATTAGAAAGCAGCTGAAGATTACACAGAACAATATACTACTGGGATACCACATAGTTTGTGCCACATAGTTTGTATTACCTGTAACCTGTTAGGAGGTCCAAACTTCTGAAGTTCTTCAAACTATTTCCTGCTTTGGGATCCCTGAAAAATAAGTAGTGAACAGAGTGTTCAAGCAACATTCTTTGACCTAATATAAAATGTTAAATGTTTTGATCAATACTTTAAAATACTGTACCTTTTATCAGTATTCCAAGGTCTCTTGCAGAGGGTATGCATATGGCTCATGCTTGGACTTCTTAGTCAGGCATCCTTTCTGCAACAAGTGTTTACTCATCTTTTATTCCAGTATAACACCAATTTGGGTTTTTTCTTTGTTATTTGAATGAGTGAGTACTTATGTAGTAACTGTAGCAACTGCATAAATTACTGTGTGCTTTTGTTCTTGTTCTCTCTGAAACGTGCTCAAACTGAAGTCTTAGCAGTGTGGTACCCTGCAGTACAACACTCAGTTATCATCCTCATTCAGCACTGTTTCCACTCTCTCTGACTCTCTAACCTTACTAAATCTTTCTCTGCTCTCATTATAATTCCATCTAACTTGGAATATATGGTTGAGTGTGCCAATTTAAGATTTATGGGGAATCCACCTGATAGATGTTGTAGTGTTTCTTTCATTTATAAATTTAATTCAATAAGGTACTTTTTGAATAGTAAGCAGAATGCACATTTTCACCATAGCTATACTACTGTTCTTTTTTTAAAGAAATATGAATTTGGCTGGTGAAATAAAATGGATTATTAATGCAACTTGTATAATCTATGATTTTTCTTTTCCATGTTTTTTCTTGTTTCCTTCCATATGCCTCTAAAGCAAAACCAGTCACATCTTTAGTGTCTGCTCAGCCAGATGAGCTATGGTAGCGGACTTTTTTCTTTAGCAATTTTTTACTCTGCCATTCTTGCCTTGCTGTTTCAGCTTCTCCTCTCACAGATATTAGTATAATAACAATTTGTATTGGATTGTAGAAGAATTAATAAAAGCAATATAGAAGAAGAAACTTCAAGTGACCATCCAGTCTATCACCTCTCTCAAAATGGGATCAACGATAGCTACATTATTTGGGGCTAATGTTTGTCTAACTTCTTTGTCCATACCTGCAGTGTTGGAGACTCCATAGCCCAATAACTCTACTTCACAACTGTGCTTTGCACTGATCCATAACATGGTGGTCAGTTGGCACAACCCCCATGGAACAGAGTAACTTCTTACCAATGGATATGTGCATTCCAGAATTTCCTTTTTCTGTCTTTGCATTAGGTAGGTGAAATCCAATCATGCCATATGCTTGTAGATATTGAGGAAGGTGGACTAAGTCTGGATTTTGCGCCTGACAACAACTAACATCAAATTATCTGGAACATTTTTTCTGAGAAATGCATGGTATCAAACCCTCAAAGTTATGAAGAAAGAAATCATACTCTTAAGAGAGAAAACATAAAATATATGCCAAGAAATTTGTTGCAAATGATTCAGAACTAAGTCACTTATTTAATGCAGGCAAATTTCTAATAAAGAATAGTATGTCTTCTAGGATCATAGAATCATAGAATCATTTAGGCTGGAAATGATATTAAAGATCAAGTCCAACTGTTAACCCAGTATTGCCAAGTCCACCACTAAAGCATGGCCCTAAGTGTCTTTTAAATACCTCCAGAGATGGCGACTCAACCACTTCCCTGGGCAGCCTATTACAGTGCTTGACCTCCCTTTCCATGAAGACTTTTTTCCTAACATTCAATCTAAACCTCCCCTGGTGCAACTTGAGGCCATTTCCTTTTGTCCAGTCACTTGTTGCCTGGTATAAGAGACTGAACCCCACTTCAGTACAATGTTCTGGCAGTTGTAGAGAATGATAAGGTCTCCTCTCGACCTCCTTTTCTCCAGCCGAAACATCGCTAGTTCCCTCAGCTGCTCCTCATAAGACTTGTGCTCCAGAGCCTTCACCAACTCCGCTGTCCTTTTCTGGACATGCT